CCTAGAAATAAGTAAAAATATTTAAAAAAAAAATTAAAAATGGAACCACCATATGATCTGGCAATTCCACTTCTAAGTATCTATCTGAAGGAATTGAAATCAGTTTCTCAAAGGGATCTCTGTACACCCATGTTCATTGCAACATTATTCATAATAGCTAAGATACAGAAACAATGTGTCTGTCAACAGATGAGTAGATAAAGAAGATAAACACATACACAATAGACTATTATTCAGACATAAAGGGCACCTGGGTGCCTCAGTTGCTTAGGCATCTGACTCTTGATTTTGGCTCAGGTCATGATCTTGAGGTTTGTGAGATCCAGCCTTGAGTTGGGCTCTGTGCTTTCAGAGCTTGGGATTCTTTCTCTCTCCCTCTCTTTCTCCTTCTCCATTTGTGTGTGTGCTCTCTCTCTCAAAATAAACATTAAAAAAAATTCACTTCCTTTGTGCTTGCTTTGGCAGCACATATACCAAAAAATTCACTTCCTTTGACAGATCCCTACTGCCCTGGTTAAGGCTATGGTCGGGAACCTATCCTTAACTCTTTTTTAAAAAAATATTTCTTTTTGAAAGAGAGAGAAAAAGAGAGAGAGAAAGAGAGTGTGTGTGTGTTTGTGTGTAGAGGCAGAGAGAGAGGGAGATGCAGAAAGAGAAGCAGGCTCCAGGCTCCAAGCTATCAGCACAGGGCCTGATACGGGGTCTGAACTCACAAATCATAAGACCATGACTTGAGCTGAAGTCGGGCGCTTAACCAACTGAGCCACCCAGGCGCCCCTTAATTCCTGAAGATATTGCACAATTTGCTGCTAAAGCATTAGATGCCCAATAAAAATTGCTAGACTCTCTGGCCAAAGTTGTTTTTAGTTTTTAAATTTTGTTAATGTTCTTTATTTTTTAGAGAGAGACAGAGTGTGATTCGGGGAGGGACTGAGAGGGAGGGAGACACAGAACCTGAAGCAGGCTCCAGGCTCTGAGCTGTCAGCACAGTGCCCAATAAGGGGCTCAAACCCACAAACTGTGAGATCATGACCTGAGCTGAAATTGGACATTTTATTGACTGAGCCACCCAGGTGCCCCTCTCTCAAAAGCTTTAAGTGTATACTTGCAGTCATCCCTCACCGAGCAAATGATCTCCCTGAGACTAGAATATTAGAAAAGAATCCAAAAGAATGACTAATTTAAAGAATGTGAACCCACTGTTGTAGGACCTGTGAATCACACAGATTGAGCCAAAACTTCCGGAGTGTAGCTGAGAGTACCACTAAGGCCTTGCATTTTCTACCATATCACTCAGCTGGAGAGTCTGATCAAAGGGGATAATTGTTAAAAACAAGACAGCAGGCCCAAAATGGAGTCACTTATGTTTAGCCCTATGTCACCAAACAGACTTAATTACAGTTTCAGCTCACCTTGAATGGGAATCTTGAATCCGTCAGGAATGGCCTGATCAGCACTAGGTAGGTAATCTACCTGATAGACTCCCACCATTCTCTAAAAATACCTGGGCCCCTGGGTGGCTCAGTCAGTTAAGTGTCCGACTCTTGATTTCAGCTCAGGTCATGATCTCATGGTTTGTGGGATTGAGTCTTTTGTCAGCACAGAGCCTGCTTGGGATTCTCTCTCTCTCTCCATCTCTCTCTGCCCCTCCCATGCTCTCTCTCTCAAAACAAATACTTAAAAAAATCCACTTTTCACAAAGTTTAACTTCCTTGTTCCCATTCTTGTCGGTCTATAAAAGTATTTTCATTTTGCACAGCTTCTCAGAGCTCCCTTCTACCTGCTAGATCAGATGCTGCCTAATTCATGAATCCTTGAATAAAGTGAGTCCTCATTTTTCTTTAGGCTCAGTATGGCTTGGTTTGGCACTGGTACTGATCTTAACATTTTTGTATTTTGTGTCTATCATGACTTTCTTTTCTGCAAATTGATTTTCAAAAATATTCAGTTAAAGAGCTATTTGTCAGGGCATGTGGCTGGCTCAGTAGGTAGATCATGTGACTCTTGATCTTGGGACTGGGAATTTGAGCCCCACATTGCGGGTAGAGATTACTTAGAAAAAATATCTTTAAAAAATAAAAGCTTAACTCTTAGCAACCACTGATCAGTTCTCCAATCTATAGTTTTGCCTTTTCCAGAGTATCATATACATAAAATCATATAGCTTTGAGTCTCGTTTTTTTTTTTTTTACATAGCCCAATGCTTTAGAGATTCATCCTTGTTGCTACATGCCTCAAGAATGATTCCTTTTTACTGCTGGTGTTGTTGGATTGTTTGGATGCCCCGCAGTTTATTCATCCATTCACCCAGGAGAGGACATGTAGGTCTTTTCCAATTTTTGGCTGCCATGAATAAAGGTGCTAAAAACATTAATGTACAGATGTGGGGTAAATATAAATTTTCATTTCTCTAGGGCAAGTACCTACGAATGGAATTTCTGGTCACCTGGTAAGTGCATGTTTAACTTTAAGGTTTTCTAATGTTTTATTTATTTCTGAGAGAGAAGGAAAGACAACATGAGCAGGAGAGGGTCAGAGAGAGAGGGAGACACAGAACCCGAAACAGGCTCCAGGCTCTGAGCTAGCTGTCAGCACAGAGCCGCATGCAGGGCTCGAACCCACCAGCCCATGAGATCATGGCCTGAGCTGAAGCAGGACACTTAACCGACTGAGCCACTCAGGCGCCCCAGTGCACGTTTAACTTTAGAAAAGATTGATCAGGGGTGCCTGGGTGGCTCAGTCGGCTAAACGTCTGACTTCGGCTCAGGTCGTGATCTCACGGTTTGTGGGTTCGAGCCTCACGTAGGGCTCTGTGCTGACAGCTCAAAGCCTGGAGCCTGTTTCGCATTCTGTGTCTCCCTCTCTCTGCCCCTCCCACACTCACGCTCTGTTTCTCTGTCTCAAGAAATAAACATTTCAAAAAAAAAAAATAGAAAAGATTGATCAATTGTTCTCAGAGTCACTGTACCATTGTGCATTCCCACTGGCAATGATGTGTAAGAGTTTCCCTTTCTCAGAATCCCCACCAACATGCTTGGTATTGTCATTTGAAAACCATCTCAGCTGTTCTAATGTCTTAGAAGTGTTATCTCATCATGGTTTTACTCTGAATGTTCCTAAAGACATGCCACGTTATTTCATTCACCCGTCTCCTGTATATCCTCTCTGGTAAAGTGTCCGTTAAAATCCTTCCCAATTTTTTTAGGTCTGTTGGTTTTCTAGTGGTGAGTTTTCAGAGTTGTTTACATATTCTGCGTCTAGTTTTCAATGCATATGTGATTTTTAAGTATTTTCCCCAGTCTTTGGCTTGTCTTTTTATTGGCTTAATATCTTTGCCGAGCAAAGTTGGGTAATTTTGATCAAGTTCAATTAATAATTGTACTTTTGGTATCATAAGAATTCTTTGCCTAACCCAAAACAATCTTAAAAATAATGAAACAGACTTAAATAGTTATTTTTCTTGATTACTGATTTGTTGGGGTTTTTTTGCACCCCCTTAAAATTTACAAGCCTTACTTTAAGGGTGTACTTCCCACTTTCCTTCCCTCTGAATTTTCTTAGTTACCATTTCTAATTTTTCTGATGGTTACCCTTTATAGTTCTATTTCTTTTTCCTACCCCTTTGATAGCATGGGCCTATCTCAGAGATATTGCAAGTTTGGTAGCAGACAGCTGCAATAAAGCAAGTCACGTTAATTTTTTGGTTTCCCAGTACAGATAAAAATTATGTTTACCCTATACTCAGTCTGTTAAGTGTGCAACCAGTACTAGGTCTAACAATGTACATACCTTAATTTAAAAATACTTCATTGTTGGGGCGCCTGGGTGGCTCAGCCGGCTAGGCAACCAACTTTGGCTAGGGTCATGATCTCCTAGTTAGTGAGTTTGAGCCCTGCATCTGGCTCTGTGCTGACAACTCAGAGGGTGGAGCCTGCCTGTCTCTCTGCCCTTTCCCGGCGTGTGCCCGCTCTCTTGCTCAAGCTCTCTCTGTCTCTCAAAAATGAATGAACAGTAAAAATGTTTTTAATAAAAATACTTGTTTAAAAATGCTCATCATCTGAGTTTTCAGTGAGTGATAATCACTAATCACAGACCATCACACCAAATTTAATGAAAAGGTTTGTAATTTTTCAAGAGTTACTAAAATGTCACAGGCACAAAACGGCCAAATGCAGTGGGGAAAAGGGGCGACGCGGAATTGTTCAATACTGGATTGCCACAAACTTTCAATGTATTAAGAAAAATGTAGTATCTGCAAAACACAATGAAACAAGCACAGTAAAACCTGTAAGATGAAGACTTTCTTGTAATTTCCCTTGGTAGGGATTTAAAACGTTGCGCTCTGCTCAGCTGCCTCAAGTCAGACTTTATGTAAAGCCACTCAGCTTTCCTGTGTCTTGGCTATTCTCTAATTGCGTCCCTGTTACTACCTCTCTCTCCAGCCTTGGACTAAACCAATTAAAGAAGCAGGGGATTGAACCCAGGGAAGTGCGTCCTACGGGACCCCACAAGGGCACAACGTGAACTTTGCAAAGGAAGAAATGAATTCCCTTTTCCTGGAACACTTCTCGCGGGGTATCTCAGCCCTCCAAATCTAAGTCCAGAGTCACAGTGACTCAGCGAATGTGAGACTTAAGGACCACAGCCCTGCACACCCTATTTGCCCGCCCCGTTCCGTGCGGAGGCCCTTTCCCAAGGCTGGGAGAGGCACACGGGGCGCGCCGGGACTCACCGGAAACTTCCCCCTGGTGTCCCCAAGTGGTGGCTCTGGACAGGGTCCATCCATAGGGCCTGCTTCCCACCAGCACCCAGACCCTTTAGCCGCACTCTCCGTCCCACACGTCCCCAGAGCACTCTACCCCGGCCCCAGACCCGCCTCCCTCCCCCCCCCCAGAAGTGCAATCACTGCGCCCCTCCCTGCCCCCAGGGGCGAGCAGCCGGCTCCGCCCCGAGAGGCGACCGAGTGCGCAGGCGCGAGGCAGGTATAAGGTGGCGGGCGCTCTGCAGGCTGCACGCAAACTGAACTGCCCGAGTTGCAGCCCCAGCCGCCTGACTCTTGCCCCCATCCTCCCCAAGCGAGGACTCAGCGGGCGGCCTGAGTCGCCCCGACAACCAGCAGCACAGCCCAGTCAGCACAGCCGGAGCCCTGGCTGGTGAGTGCCGCGTCCGGGAGCAGGGGTGCCCCCAACCCTCAGTTGTCTGCAGGGATCCTGGAGGGGCTTAGCGCTCATTTTTTTTTTTTTTTTTTTTTTGCCCAAGACTCAAAACAGAAAAAGCGAAAGCGTTCGTATCCCGGGATGAGCCCTGATCAGACACCGGGAGAAGGGGAGCTCCTGGGGTCTACCCCATCCCCACAAACTTAGTGGGCATTTAACAGAGACTTGACCTTGGAAGCAAAAAAATCCCTCCAAAACAGGTCAGAAACCGACTGTCAACGGCCAGATCTGGTTCACTGGCACACCTTGATTGGCCTTATAGAATTTAAAACATTTTGAGGGGGGAAATGGGGTGGGGGAGAGGGAGGGAGGCAAACCATGAGAGACTCTTGAATGTTGAGAACTGAGGACTGATGGGTATGGGGGGGGAGGGGAGGGGAGATGGGCATGGAGGAGGGCACTTGTGGGGATGAGCACTGGGTGTTACATGGAAACCAACTTGACAATAAACTATTAAAAAAGGGAAAAAAAGAATTTAAAACATTTTGCAGTACGTTGCTAATATTATAGTAAATATAGGTTATTGCATTTAAAAAATGTGAATTCCCTGCTTCTGGAGGAAAATTAAAAGATACGGTGATGAGTGTGCTGGAGCTGGAGTGTGTGCTCCCTTTAGTTGGATAGGGACCAGCCCCAGGCTGCCTGGCCAGGAGACTTTTTTTTTTTTTTTAATGTTTTATTTATTTCTGAGAGAGAGAGAGAGAAAGAGAAAGAGAAAGAGAAAGAAAGAAAGCATGAGCAGGGGAGGGTCAGAGAGAGAGGGAGACAGAGAATCTGAAACAGGCTCCAGGCTCTGAGCTGGCTGTCAGCACAGAGCCGGATGCGGGGCTTGAACCCAAGAACCAGGAGATCATGACCTGAGCGGGAAGTCAGACGCTTAACCAACTGAGCCACCCAAGCGCCCCCAGGAGACTTTTTTTTTTTTTTTTAAGTTTATTTATTTGCTTTGGAGAGAGAGAGAGCATGAATAGGGGCGGGGTAGAGAGAGGGAGAACCCTAAGCAGGCTGTCCTTGCAGAGCCTGACTTGGAGCTGGATCCCATCAACCGAGAAATCATGACCTGAGCAGAAAGTAGGAGTCAGATGCTCCATCGTCTGAGCCACCCAAGTGCCCTTGGTCAGGAGACATTTTTGTCTGTGACCCTTGGATGGGGGCAAACCTGATCCCTTTATCGGGTCCACTTTTAGAGGCAGAATCTCCCCTTTCCACCATCAACCTGAGGGGACATTACAGGTCACCACAACTTTATCTGATGCCTCTAAGACACCCCAGCTGCAGCCCCTGCAGGGACAGGGGGCTGTTTCCCAGAGAGCCGCATTCTGAGAGGAGGCAGTGCTAACATTCACAAAGCCATTTCTTCAACTGGGACAGAACTCTGTTTTGTAATTTCCTTTCCTCTGAACCTTGCTCTGCTCTCTGCAGACACACATACACCCAGAGACTCTCCTCATGCCACACGTGAGCGAGCTCAGGGAGGAGACTGTTGTTGCAGCAGACTAACTAAAGTTAGAATCTCTAAGAGGGCTGAGCTGGAGATTGGAAACCCACCCAGAGTTTCTAGAAACCCGGAGGAGAAGCATCTGGGAGAGACTGCTGGGTAGCTCACAAGGTTTCCTGCATGCACGATAGAGGCTTTTTCTATTTCATTATTTTGTTTATTCATTTTTGAGAGACAGGGTACAAGCGAGCGGGAGAGGGGCAGAGGGAGGGGGAGGGAGACACAGAATCTGAAGCAGGCTCTAGGCTCCAAGCTGTCAGCACGGAGCCAGATGTGGGGCTTGACCCCATAAGCCAGGAGATCATGACCTGAGCCAAAGTCAGACACTTACCCTACTGAGCCACCCAGGTGCCCCTCTGTAGCATTCTTCCAGTGTCCTTAGGGCACCAGCACAGTATAGGGCAAGAACTATTAACTGATTTTCCATTCTTACAGAATATTCTGTACTTATGTGTAACTTTAAAAAAAAGGGGAGAGGGGGAGGAGGAGAAAACATGGAATGATTTGGACCTTGTTTAACTTGTATTAACTGTATTCAGCTAAGTCTTGCCATTAAGATGCATCCAGAGTATTTGTTTGTAACTCCCGGGTTCCTCTGACTTGCAGGCACGCATTCCCTGAGGAACCCAGGGAGCCCAGAGCGCAATAACAGAATGCATGAAGCTGATGGGAGGGCTTGCCCTTAATCCATTTATAATAGGTTTTCCTTGATTGCTCATTCTTCCTGCCAGAATGATCATGTGGGTCATCTATCTTTTACTGTTAAGGTATCTAGATGTGCTTTACATTAAAACCATGTATCACCATCCCTTTCTTTCTCTGCCAGCTTTTATCTTTTCCTGCCGTTAAGTTCTATGTTGGCCTTCAGTGAAGCTGCAGGTTGACCGGGTCCTGTTCAGTCAGCAATGTTAGTGAGCGCTTGGTTTCAGGCCGGCCTGAGGTTGGAGCAGAGAATAGTGGGAGGTTGAGTAACAGGAGGACAGAGGCCAGCTTCCCTGAAACAGGGGACATACTTTGGCCACCAGAATGTACGCTCTACAGAAAAAAGATTTGGTGGAGTGTTTTGTTTTGTACACTGAGGTATTGTAAATGCCTAAAGCAGGGCCTGGTGGATAGAGGTGCTCAGTAAACCCTGGTCAAGCGGGTGAGAGAAAGGGTTCTAGAGAACAGGAGTATGGCTCATGCTAGGGGGGACTTGCTGAGGAGACACTTGCAGGGGGCGAGGGGGTGGGGTGCAGAACACAAAAGATGGCGAGGAAGGAGCCAAACTGTGGAGAAGGCCCAAATGTCCATCAACTGATGAATGGATAAAGATAATGTGGTGTATATACATAAACACAGTGGAGTATTTCTCAGCCATCAGGAAGAATAAAATCTTGCCATTTGCAATGACATGGATGTCACTAGAATGTATTACACCAAGCAAATTAAGTCAGAGAAAGACAAATACCATACGATTTCACCCCTATGAGGAATTTAAGAAACAAAGCAGATGAATACATGGGAAGTGAGGGGAAGAGAAGAGAGGGAAACAAACTCAAGAGACTCTTAAGGATGGAGAACAAACTGAGGGTTGACCGAGGGAGTTGGGCAGGGGGGTGGGCTAGCCTGGGGCCGGGCATTAAGGAGGGCATTGGTTGGGATGAGCGCAGGGTGTTGTATGTAAGTGATGAATCATTGAATTCTACTCCTGAAACCAGTATTACACTCTATGTTAACTAGAGTTTAAAAAAAAAAAAAAAAAAAAGATGGTGGGGAAGGAACAAGGGATTTCAGGACACAGAGAAGTGAGGATGAATGGGGAGCACACATCGTAGGGTTTGAACCCTGGAGGCGAAGCAGCACAGGGAGAGAGCTGCGTTCACGAAGACGTGCTCAGCTGTGTTACAGAGTGGCCTCTGTTAGGTCAATGCTGTGCATGGCAAACAGAGATGAATGTTACATTCGGGGCACTGGTAAGAATCCCGTTTGTCTTTCCAACCTCTCCAAGGGCAGCTCCTTCCGAGGACCTTCCCCCATCAGCCGGCCCCGAAGTGAACAGTTTGCCTCTGCAATTTTGTTCCTTGCCTCCCTTGTCAGGCTAATGTCATTAGTTTTTTGTGTGCACGTCTTACCGCCGTCCCTAAGGGACATTCTGAGAACGTCAGATGTGTCACATAGCTAGTTAAGTGGCAGGAAGGGAAACTGAACCCTTCAAGTCCAAAACCCCTCAGGTTTGTCCACGAAGGAGGACTTGGCAACAAACGACTCTCCCGGTCGCCCTTCACCTCTGGCCCAGGAGCACAGTCTGCTGTATGGACTGTGGGTCCGTGTTCTGTTGTGTCTGTAGAATCCTTGACCGCTTTTCTACTGTGTGGTGTTCGGCAATCGTATCTATACCAGATACTGACCGCTGTGGGTTACGTTTCTGGCAAATCTATTCTTCTGGCTTGTGTCTCCTCTTACTTTTTTTTTTTTTAAGTTTACTTTTTTATTTTGAGAGTGAGAGAGAGCACAAGCAGGTGAGGGGCAGAGAGAGGGAGCAGAGAATCCCAAGCAGACTCCGTGCCATCAGCTCGGAGCCAGAAGTGGGGCTCCAACTCACGAACCCTGAGACCAGGACCTGAGCGGAGATCAAGAGCCGGACCTTAACTGACTGAGCCACCCAGGCGCCCCTGTTTAGTTTTGAAAGGAGCCGGCGTCCTAGAGCTAGTCGGTGATGAGCTCCTTGAAAACAAGGGCTAGATATTCTGACTCACTATGTCAAGTGCCTTTGTATTTTACTACTTAGGAAATGCTGGTTAATAATAATAAGTAAATTTATGGAAACCAATTTGACAATAAACTATTTGTAAAAAAAATAAAAAATAAAATTTTTAAAAAAATAATAAGTAAAAAAAAAATCTTTATATACATAGCTGAGAAGTAAGCCGAGAGAATATAAACTGACAAAGCAGTATTCATTCAGTCCACATTGATAGAATTCGCGCAAAGGTAAGTCCCAGAGAAAACGCGTATCAGAACTTTATATACTCACATTTCTCCCAAGAGCAGTAAGCCGTGGAGTTGATTAGGGATTTGTTGAGGCGGCCTCAGGAGCTCCTGAACCTTTCCCCAGGCCGTCCAAAGCACATACTTTGCTCTCACAGAGTTCGAATCCCTTACTGAACTTGTGTTCCCCGGCATCTGAGCTTGGAGAGTCTGAAACGCCACGAGGGAGCGGGGCGAGGCTCCCGGGCAGGCTGGGGTCCGACGCTGCCGCGGGGCCAAATTTAACCCAGAGCAGCTGCTCCCACGGGAGCTCCGCCCGTGGGCACAAATGTTAGGAGTTAGTGAGAAATGAGGCAGTGACACCAATTACTAGGGGCAGATGTTGTTGGTAAGCCCCGTTCCCCGCCCTGCTGCCTGCACATGGTTGCATGGATTTACCTATACGTTTACTAATTTTTTTAATGATCTCTACACCCAAAATGGAGCTCGAACTCACAACCCTGAGATCAAGAGCTGCTTGCTCCTTTGAGCCAGCCAGGCGCCCCTATGTCTACATATTTTTACATTATTCCAGTCTCACCACTTACTATGTAAACTTGGGTAACTTGCTTAACTTTTCAGTGCCTCAGTTTTCTCATCCGTAATGTGGGACTAACTGTATCTAGCTCATGGTGTCACCATGACAGCTGGAAAAGAATGCAAAGCACTCAGAGCAGTGCCTAGCACACGGTAAGCACCCGTTGAGGCTGTTATCCAGACAAAGGCAAATAGTATACGATTTCACTTGTGTGTGGAATCTGAAAACCCAAACAATGAACAAACAAAGACATAGACCCATAAACACAAACAACAAAGTGACTTTGCCAGGGGGCAAGTGGGCTAGAGGGATAGGCAGATGGGTGAAGGGGAGTGGGAGATACGGGTCTCCAGTTATGGGATGAATAAGTCATGAGGATGGGGCGCCTGGGTGGCTCAGTCGATTAAGCGTCCGACTTCGGCTCAGGTTTGTGGGTTCTCTCTCATGGTTTGTGGGTTCGAGCCCCGCATCGGGCTCTGTGCTGACAGCCGGCTCAGAGCCTGGAGCCTCTTTCAGATTCTGTGTCTCCCTCTCTCTCTGACCCTCCCCTGCTCACAGTCTGTCTCTCTCAGAAATAAATAAAACATTTAAAAAATTAAAAAAAGCAGTAAGTCACGAGGACAAAAGGTATAGGGTGGGGGAATACGGGTGGTGGTATGGTAGTAGAGGTATATGCTGTGACAGGGGAGCACGCTGGGGGTGAGCGCAGTGTAAGGTATACTAGGCTCATAGAATCCCTGTGTCATCTGCCTGAGACACATGCAATATTGTGTGTCAAGTATACTTCAATTAAAAGAAAGAATGAAAAGGGGCTCCTGGCTGGCTCAGCTGGAAGAGCATGTGACTCTTGCTCTTAGGGTCGTGAGGTCGAGCCCCACATTGAATATAGAGATTACTTAAAAATAAAGAAAGAGGGGCACCTAGGTGGCTCCATCGGTTGAGCGTCCAACTTCGGCTTGGGTCATGATCTCACGGTTCATGGGTTCAAGCCCCGCGTCGGGCTCTGTGCTGACAGCTCAGAGCCTGGAGCCTATTTCAGATTCTGTGTCTCCCTCTCTCTCTGCTCCTCCCCCCATCATGCTCTCTCTCTTGCTTTCACTCTCAAAAATAAATAAACATTAAAAAATTAAAAAAATGAAGAAATAAAACTTAAATAAAATAGAATAAATGCTGTTGTTGCAAGAGAAAAACATTCTTGTTCTAACAACTTTATTAATACAGAGTAGGTCCAAAAAAAGTAAATCTTTCCCCTCTGTCTCTGTGCCCTTGATATCTCTTACTTAGCTAAGAAAACTGTCAGTAGTTTCATGTAATTATTCCACATTTTTTTCCCCTCATAACTATATACTGCAAATCTTTGTACACATATATGTAGTTTCTTTGTCTTTTTTTTTTTTTTTTTTTTAAATAATGTCTACACCCAACATGGGGCTCAAACTCTTGACTCCAAGATCAAGGGTTGCATGCTCTACCTACCAAGCCATTGAGGGGCCCTCATTCTTTATCTTTTAAAAAAAATTGTTTTTAATTGTTGAGAGAGAAAGAGAGAGTGATAGAGTGTGAGCCCAGAAAGGACAGAGAGAGAGGGAGACACAGAATCTGAAGAAGGCTCCAGGTCCTGAGCTGTCAGCACAGAGCCCAATGTGGGGCTTGAACTCATGATCAATGAGATCAGGACCTGAGCAGAAGTTGGATGCTTAACTGACTGAGCCACCCAAGTGCCCCTCTTTGTCTTTTATAATAATGGATTCACACTCCCTTCATTTGATCAGTTAACAATACATCGTGGATATCCTTCTGGGTGACTCTATATAGTTACCAGCATCCTAGTCTGTAATGTGTATGTACCATAATTTATTCAAATCCTCCCCGTAAAGAGTCAGTGAATGCCAGTGAAAAGAATGATAGAGTCCCCGTCGTGGCTCATACAGCCTTATATCCCACTGCCTTTAGTCTGTAGAAAAGATCCCCCAAAGTTGGAGAGCTAGATCAAAGATTTATGCGTCTTTAAAATTTAAAGAGACTCAGCCTGATTACTTTCCCCCCGGGGTGAAGACAATTCTTGTTCCCACTGGCAGCTGTTAGTTTCCTGCACTCTTAATAGCCCTCAGTGTTGCTTGTCTTAAATTGTTTTGCCAGTGTGTTGGGTAAATAATGATATCTCATTTTAATTTGCTTTTCCTGACAGGCTAGGCAGGGCACTTGCTCATTTGTCTTTTGTCATCTGCATTTCCTCCTCTGAGTAGTGTGCTCATATCCTTGATTTATTTTTCCAGTGCATTGTCTGTCTTTTTTCTGTCTGTTTGTAGATATTCTTTGGAGTTTTAACCCTTTGTCATAAGAGTTGCAGGTATCCGCTCCCTGACTTGTTTATGGTGCCTTCTGGTACACACACATTTGTAATTATTGTAATACGTGGCTTCATCTGGCAAGCTTTCGGTTCGTGGTTGCTGAATCTCTAGTCTCTCTTAGAAGTATTCTCCGTCTTGAGGCTATGCAAATCCTTCCTTTAGATCTGTCCTCTGCAGGAATTCATTGCTGTAGGAGGTGTGTTTGTGGGATAGTGAAAACAACAACAGAACAAGATTACAACACACACACTGAAAATTCGAGGTGAATTTTCACAGACTTGTGGGATGAGCACCTGGATCAGGAAACAGAACATTGTCCCCACCCCCTGACAGGGGGACCGCTATACTGACTCCTAACCCCTTGTTAGTTTTCTAAGAGGGTAAGTGCATTTTCATGCAGGTGGCCGATTAAGAACGCCAGCGGAACCAGCCCCTGCGTTAGAATGCGTCCTTTACTCATTGGCGCTTCTGTGGACAAAGTAGGTTTCTGGCTCCCGAGGGGGGGCTGCGTCACCCAGCGCCTCACAGAGGTCACTCCTCTGTTTCGGATCCCGGCCCGGCCGCCCTGCGGCTGAAGCTCTGCTGCGTGGGAACTGATTTTCTCCGTATGCCCTGTGTGTCTCAATAGCCAGAAGAGCATTGATCGTACTGGCCCACGCAGAGACGACGTCCTTCAACCATGCCATGAAGGACGCTGCTGTAGAGGCCTTGAAGAGCAAAGGATGGGAGGTCACTGTGTCAGACCTGTATGCCATGAACTTCAATCCCGTCATCTCCAGAAGGGACATCACAGGTAGGATGGCGTCCCCCCCTTTAATCAGGGCTCTGTGGCACATCTCGCCTGTGGGTTCTGTGGCTCAGCCTCGGCCCCTCTGGCTTCAAGCTGTCGCTTTCCTCTCGGCAGGTACACTGAAGGACCCCGGGAACTTTCAGTATCCTGCCGAGTCTGTTCTGGCTTATAAAGAAGGCCGTCTGAGCCCCGATATCGTGGCAGAACAAAAGAAGCTGGAAGCTGCAGACCTTGTGATTTTTCAGGTGTGATGGGACATCAGAAGGGGTGTCAGGATGCTTGAGTTCTTACTGTCCAAGACAGGTCACCTGATTAGCTATGTGATCTTGGGAGAAGTCACTTACCCACTTTAGCACCATCTCTATAAAGAAGGGTGATGACTTCAAAAGGTGCGGTGTTACACAGATGTATAGATATTGTGAACCTGGCTGTGCTACTCTGAGAATATGTGACTACGTGGGGCACCTGGGTGGCTCAATCGGGTAAGCCTCTGACTCTGGTTTTCAGCTCAGGTCATGATCTCACAGTATGTGGGTTTGAGCCCCGCCTCGGGCTCTGTGCGGACAGCGCGGAGCCTGCTTGGAATTCTCTCTCCTCTCTATCTGCTCCTCCCCTGATCACGAGCCCATTTGCTTCTCTCTCTCAATAAATAAATAAATAAACTTTAAAAAATATACGTGACCACAAAGATGACATGTGAGCCTTGAGCTTTTTCTTCAATTAGTGATTCCTATGGGATCTCTCACAGTTTGCCTTTGACCCCTTCTCTGCACGAGCTGTGGAGTGAAGCACGGGACACGGACCCCTGCGGTAGGAGCCTCCCAGCTGAAGCGGGAGCTGGCCTGCTTCACGGGTTCCAGCCCCCCTTCTCCTGGAAGCTGTCTCCCCACCAGGCAGTCCGTACTTGTGAGTCCTCTTTCCTGAAAATGCCAGACTGGACTCCATGACTTTTCTTCTGCTGGTTCTAACCAGCTTTTTGTTATTGAAAATGGACTTAGATGACCCTAGCGACCGCACAAGGAGGTGACACCAGCTGTGGTTTTTGCAGTTGTTCATTCAGCTACAAAGAATCCAGACTTTTAGGTCTTTCCTTCTGCCCTGTAACTGTCGCTGTAAGTTAAAGCCATGCGCCATGAGCCAGTGTCTGAAGGATGCCTTCTTGGTCAGCGTTTGTCTTACCCTGGCGCGGCCGAGGCGCCGCAGAGGCAGCTTTCAGTTCCGCTTCTCAGAATCACTGTATTTTAGAATTGGAAAGGACCTCACTGCTCTTTGGATTTAGCTTCTCTCCGAAGCATCAGTTTAACTTACTCTCAGTACTACGGTACATGTTGTGCCCTGTAAAATAGCAACATATGGAAAGGCACCGCATACGCCGCAGGTTTATATACTTATTATAACATTTTACCAACAGGTGATGGGAAAAGTCTTCTTGTAAGTTTTTATTTTTATTTTTTTTACTTAAAATATGTTTATTTTGAGAGAGAGCAGGTCAGGGTGTGGGAAGGGCAGAGACAGAGGGAATCCTGGTGGTTTTTAAAAATAAAATAAAAGTTTTTATTTTTATTTTTTTACTTAAAATATGTTTATTTTGAGAGAGAGCAGGTCAGGGTGTGGGAAGGGCAGAGACAGACAGAATCCCAAGCAGGCTCCGCACTGTCCGCGCAGGGCAGGATGCGGGGCTCGATCTCATGAACCGCTAGATTGTGACCTGAGCCGAAACGAGGAGTTGGACATTTAACCGACTGAGCCACCCAGGGCCCCTGGAAAAGTCGTACTATGGAAGGATGCGTGTATTATGTATGATAGTTTTTCAACATGGAAACCAAGCGTCCTGAGGAAGGAGTGCTTTCATTCACACCAAGACCGCCCAGGCTGCCCCCTGCTCTCTTTTCTCACTTCTCCACGAACAAACAGAGGAAGAATAAACTTTCAAATATCCTGCAAGCCAACCAATTCTATTTTCAGCTCTGACTGTAGAAGGTTCACAGGGACGAAATCTACGTGTGTAAACCACCTGCACATTTATCTGAAAAGCCTCAGGTCTGGCCCCTCACAACTGCAGAGTCATAAACATAAGGAGCATCTAGAGATTACTCAAGCCCCTCTTTTTACAGATGAGGCCCATCAGACTTCACGAAAGTAAGGGGCTTACGTGACAAAGGTCTTGCCTCCCATCAGATGCAGGGTGAGAACACGAATCTCGTTCTTCATCTCGTGTCCTTTTTGTTCTAAACCCGCCCCTTCTACCCCCTTTCCTATACTTGTCTCAGCGGGGCCTGTTCCCAGGTGTCACTGTGTTGAAATCCTAAGTCAGGGAGAAAAAGAGGAAACATGAGCATGGTCCAAGTGCTGCCTTCATCAGGACAAGAGGCTCAGCAAGACTCCCTCACGGGAATTCCCTGATAAACCTCAGGCACACGGCCATTTGTTCGCCGGTGTGAGCGTGCACTCACGTGCAGCTTGTTCTATTTAAAAAAAAAATTTTTTTTTAATGTTCATTTTTTTTTGAGACAGAGAGAGACAGAGCGTGAGCAGGGGAGGGGTAGAGAGAGGGGGAGACACAGAATCCAGAGCAGGCTCCGGACTCTGAGCTGTCAGCACAGAGCCCAATGTGGGACTTGAACTCACGGACCGTGAGATCATGACCTGAGCTGAAGTCGGATGTTTAACCGACTGAGGCACCCAGGCGCCCCACGTGCAGCTTATTCTAAACAGTAGGATTTCACATCCGTGAACACGGGGTACATGTTTCACACTGTTGAGAGCACTCCTACATAATACTGATTTAGGCATCACACACTGAGGCAAACTTTCTCTGCATTCCTTGCTGTTGAGACTTTGCTGCTAAATGTGATCGAAGTGGCATGTGGCTTTCTTCAGACCTACTCAGTACTTGTTTCTTTTAGGCAGAAATAGAGGAGTGTCAAGTTGACTGGCCAAGGCCATTGTTTTTCTTTAATGTGCTCACTCCTCCAGAAGCACCCACAAGGGCTTCCAGAAAGGTTTGCTCTTCTGTGACATCAGCCCAGCACCTGAGCCTTCGATGCTGGCGGCAGTTTCTGTGCTGACCTCTCTGTGCTCTGCCCCACAGTTCCCGCTGCAGTGGTTCGGAGTCCCCGCCATCCTGAAAGGCTGGTTCGACCGAGTACTCATAGGGGGGTTCGCGTACACGTATGCTGCCATGTATGACAACGGACCTTTCCGGGTAGGTGGATGGTTCTGCTCTAACAGCCGGATCCGGGGTGCAGTCTGTCCTGAGGCGAAGTTCTGAACACAGTTAGGTACTAAGGTCAGGCTCCTCGGAGAGCTGGATGATAGTGCATGTAGATATTTAATTTTTTTTAATGTTTATTTTTTGAGAGAGAGACAGAGTGAGCAGGGAGGGGCAGAGAGAGACAGAGACACAGGATCTGAGGCAGGCTTCGGGCTCTGAGCTGTCAGCACAGGGCCCGACGACGCAGGGCTTGAACCTACAAACTGCAAGATCGTGACCTGAGCCAAAGTCAGACACTCAACCCACTAAGCCACCCAGGCGCCCCGGTGTGAAGATATTTAGACAGGCCTTTAGGCTTTGCTTTAACACATCCCAGGGACCCAAGGGGCAGGGAGATCAGGCAGAAGTAGGACGGCAAGATATTGCGCGTTGAGGCTGGGTGGTGGGAGCATCGTGAGACCATGTTCTCTATGTACGGAGACCCCCACATACGCCACAGGACATATTTTGAGGCCTCCTAGATTACATGCCTACATACACGCGGAGCGCTGTGGGGAGACACTGATTTCGTATCAGTCTTTACCCACTTGGCCACACCCCGGAGTAATGAGGACTCTGGGGCTGGCCCTCGAGTGTGACTTCTGGAGTCACACTGCGTGGCTCAGAGGAGCCAGTGTGGGAGGAAGGAACAGAAATAGCAGGTGGCTGGACTTGTGGTGTGTTCTTTTCCCCGGGGCTGTTTCATTAACTTCCTGTCACCAAGGAGACGTGAGGGGTAATAACTTTTCTTTTACAGAATAAGAAGACGGTGCTCTCCATCACCACTGGCAGCAGCGGCTCCATGTACTCTCTGCAGGGTATCCACGGAGACATGAATATCATTCTCTGGCCAATTCAGGTTACTTTGTTTCAGTGAACCTTCACCGGGGATTAATTAATTGAGCTTTGTGTGGGGTCCAGATCCTCAAGATGGCAGCTGAAAACAGACCTGAAGTGTGAGGACGCGAGCAACGTAATGATTCAGAACTCCAGGGAGCTCCCCTCTAAGCCTTACTAGTCTTGCCGGGCCCCTGTACTTAAGAGTAACCTGGCAATGCAAATGTCTAAACACCTCTGTCTCCTAATCGAGGGCCAGTGCAGAGAACCCCTAGATTGGTATAGCCATGTGCCCCGATTCCAGATGACTGACATCTGTCTCCAGTCTTCCAGGCCTTCTCTGGGATGCTGCTATGGCCTCACAACCTATTAGAAAATTTAAGAAATGGGGCGCCTGGGTGGCTTAGTCGGTTAAGCGTCCGACTTTCGCTTAGGTCATGATCTCACGGTTTGTGGGTTCGAGCCCCGCGTCGGGCTCTGTGCTGACTGCCAGCTCAGAGCCTGGAGCCTATTTCAGTCTGTGACTCCCTTTCTCTGATCCTCCTCTGCTCACGCTGTCTCTCTCTCTCTCTCCTAGAAATAAATAAAAAAAAAAAAAAAGAAAGAAAATTTAAGAAATGATTTAGTCCAGCTAATGAGTGGAGTCTGAGGGAGGCCTCTGGGTGGACGGTCGCCGGACTAGCAGGATAATGTCTTCTACGGAAGAGGGTAGGAGAGAAGAGCAAATGCGGTGGCCGCCTATGATAGTGGAGAATTATGTTAATATTGGAGAATAAGTTACACAGATGACTTCTTGAGGCTCATCTAGTTAGAAGGAGAGGCGGAGAAAGGCACATCGACATACCTTGGCAAGTCCGCTGCCGAGAAGCTGAAACTCCCTTATGTAATAGAACTTCCGGCACTTTTGGCAGAGGATCCCAGGCTGGCACGGTTTCAAGATTTTATTCATTTAGAAGAGCTCAACTGAATAGGCTAAAATAGGTAACAGCTAGGAATAGAGAGTAGAAGGTGAGAGAAAATAGCTAGGAGTTGAGTCTCCGGGGTGCCTCAGGCCCCCACAGCGGAGCATCTTGTTGAAAAGCCTAGATTAACTTTTGTGTGTCTATTTATGATACAAGCTGTAGAGGGTTTGTTCTGTGACTCAGCTCTGCTCTCTGTGTGTCCCCAGAGTGGCACTCTGCATTTCTGTGGCTTCCAAGTCCTGGAACCTCAACTGACATACAGCATTGGGCACACTCCTGTGGATGCGCGAATTCAGATCCTGGACGGATGGAAGAAACGCCTGGAGAATATTTGGGACGAGACGCCACTGTATTTTGCTCCAAGTAGCCTCTTTGACTTAAACTTCCAGGCAGGATTCTTAATGAAAAAGGAAGTGCAGGATGAGCAGAAAAACAAAAAATTTGGCCTTTCTGTGGGCCATCATTTGGGCAAGTCCATCCCAGCTGATAACCAGATCAGAGCCAGAAAATGAGACTCACAAGACTGGGTTCCTTTTAAAAATGTAGCCTAAGCTAGGTTTATTTCTCAGGCTTCCTTGACTTGCTTTAGTTTTTAAGATTTGTGTGTTTTTTTTTTCTTTCCACAAGGAACGAAGAGGAGGCAGAATTGACTGTATCCATGTATTTCTGGATAGTCTCATTAAATGTAACTGGTTCTAGTGACTGCTCTCATGGCAAAACCTGGTTAGGCTCAAGAAGCCACTGAGGATATGAAGCAGGGAAAAAGATGGAGAAAGATGTGAGACAATATTCTTCAAGGTCCTCTACACAATTAAATTCCTCTTTTTAGGGCTACATTTTTAGGGCTAAATCTGGCTGGAGAGTATCCAACTCTTCGATGATACATTTTCCTTTTAATTACCTCTGGTTTATGGCAGAAGGGAACTAATTGCTCTAAGAAATGGCTGAATCTGACACAAGGGACTTGTTTAGTAGTTACTAATTTGTGCTTGTTTATGATAGATACTGGTTTGAATTACTACACAGTGACTAATATGCCTTATGTGTGTGTTACTCTTGCTTCACCTTTTGTTCTTTATACACAGCACACACAGATACTTTGAATGCAAAGACGATAAAACTCTCTTCTTTACCTCAATCTTCGAATTTCATGTCGGCAGAAATAAACCAACATATCTATACGCTACGTCTGCTACAGTGAATGAAAAAAACAGTTACTCCCAATATTTAACAACAGCCTTCTGCAAATACTCCTTTACGTCTGAGCGACATCACAGTCTGGAAGGGTTTCTTCTCTGCCATTGCTGACCTGATGACTTTCCATTTGGATGCATTTTGGTTCCACAGTTTTGGGGATAAAGTTGTAGTCCTAGAGTTTCATTAGCCTTGAACAATTTTGGCATAATATTCCAACTTCCAGTTGAAATTATTGAAGTGTGACTCACTGTCAGTATAATTCAAGTAGAATATGATGAAAGGCTGCCCTCTGGTGGTGTATTGAAAGAAAACACGAGAGATTTTGCAAAGCAAGGTTGCCTGAAACTGGGAACAGGTCCCATACCTGCCAAGGAAATGGGGGCGGCAGGCCAGAGACCCTCATGGGCCAGATGCCAACAGGCAATTGGGTAATTTCCCCCTACAAGATACATAATGGCAGATGGCTGGCTGCTTCAGCTTGAAAATATTTTCTTGTTGCCTTCCTGCTCGCTGTAATTTTGTGTATGTTTCTGAAAGCTCCAAATGAAATCAATAAAACCCATTTCTACAAAATAGACCCACACTCACTGGTTTCAGTGAAGCTAGTGATGGAGGCGAGGCATGCAGGGAAAAGTGGAATCGGCGACTAGGGAAGATGGGATCAGAGCATATAATAATACATTATGGCCAGAAGCTTTTTTTTTTTTTTTAATTTGAGACAGAGAGAGACAGAGCACGAGTGGGGTAGGGGCAGAGAGAGAGGGAGACACAGAATCTGAAGCAGGCTCCAGGCTCTGAGTTGTCAACACAGACAACTTAATGCGGGGCTTAAACTCACGAACTGTGAGATCATGACCTGAGCCGAAGTGGGACACTTAACCGACTGAGCCACCCAGGCACCCCTGGCCAGAAGCTTCTAAAGAGAGCTCTCCCAGGGCTCTCTTCATATGACTGGTAATGGAACCAGCCCTTCAACAGGGCTGCTTCATATGACTGGTAATGGAACAACTTAGGAAGGTCCTCTCAGGGAACCTAAGGGACAGTTAAAGAGACCCTGGAAAGAATACTTTCAAGAATAACCTAGAATTCAGTAAACAAATGCCAAGTGGCAGTATTTATTATGATTTGCCTGATTTATTCTAATTTACCCCATGGGCCAGGTACTCTCCTAGGCAATAGGTACTCTTCCCACTACTTTGGGAACAGAGCAGTGAACAAAACCAAGCACCTCATGGAGTATGCATTCTAGTGAAGAATGACAGAACAGACACGTCAGCTGGTGATAAATGCTAGGAAGAAAAAGCAGGGTAGGAGACAGGATGTGGGGAGTTTTGTTTTATACAGGGTGATCTTCCCCACTAAAGTTACATTTGAGTAAAGACCTGATAAAGTGAGAGAGTGAGGTGTAGATGCCTGCAGGGAGGCACTCCGGGCAAATCCCTGAGGCAGGATCACATGTAATATGAGGAAGAGAGGATGTTAGTGACTACAGCAGAGCAGGGAAGAGGGATAGGCCAGAGACACAGCTGGGATTGGATACAGAGCCTTCCAAAGTACTGTAAGGATATAAAGACAGGGGAGCACCTGGGTGGCTCAGTCGGTTAAGCGTCCGACTTTGGCTCAGGCCATGATCTCATGGTTCTTGGGTTCAAGCCCCGCGTTGGGCTCTGTGCTGACGGCTAGCTCAGAGCCTGGAGCCTGTTTCAGATTCTGTGTCTCTCTCTCTCTGACCCTCCCCTGCTCTCGCTCTCACTCTTTCTCAGAAATAAAACATTTAAAAAATCAGAAAAAAACGAATATAAAGATAGGAAATCATGAAGAGCTTTGGGCAGAAGTATGACATACTCTGATTCCTGTTTAATTCTGGCTGGTAGGTGAGGAACCAAGAATAAGGCAATGTCAGAAGCACAGAGAATTGTGGCACATTGTCACAAGCTAGTCAATAAATGCTTTGGACCAGGGTGACAGCAAGAGAGGTATGGAGAAGTGCATGTATTTACTTTTAAGAGGTTTTATTTTTAAGTAATCTCCACACGAACATGGGGCTTGAACTCACAACCCCAAGATCCAGAGTCATGTTCTACCGATGGAGTCAGTCAGGTGCCCCAAGAACTGAATAAGGTTGGATCTATCCCATTTGCTAAGGTGAGGAAGAATCTGGAAAGCATATTCGGCGAAGAAGCTGGGATCGGGAAGGGTTCAGACATTTTACGTTTGAGATGGATGTCTATTAAGACTGTAATAGAGGGCTGCTCAGTCAGCCGACTCTTAATTTCAGCTCAGGTCACGATGCCAGGATTGTGGGACTGAGCCCGGTGTCAGGCTCTGTGCTAAGCATGGGGCCTGCTGAAGATTCTCTGTCCCTCTAAAATAAATAAATTTTAAAAAAGAATTTTTTAAAAAGACTGTAATAGGGTAATAGGAACTTGGTGTTAGGGAAGAGGCTATGGCAGGAGGGACACATCTGGAAATCTTCTACAGGTCATACAGCAATGTCATACAGGAGATTACCTAGGAAATGAATTATGATAGAAAAGAGATCCGGTGATTGACTTCCAGGTCTCTCCAGTGACAGAAGGTCAGGAAGACGAGAATGAAAAAAAATCGCCAGTGGAGCAGGAGAGCTGAGCGTGGGGTCCTGAAAGCTAAGTGAAGTGTTTCAAACAGGGAGTGATCAAGCGTGTTGAATACCGCTAAGCCAAGTAAGCTAGGTCTGCGGGTTGACCTTTGCATCTAGCCATGTGGAGGCCACTTGTGATTTTGACAAGAGATATATCAGGAGAGTGGTTTGATGAAGCCTGATTGGAATGGGTTCAAGAGAGAATGGAAGGAGACAGAGGGGAAACTGTTGGGGTGGGGAGGGGGGAAAGGAGGGTGTGGTCAAAGAAAGTTACTTGATTGTTTTAAGAGATAAGGGACATGATAGCACATTTATATGCCAGTAGGAAGAACTCCTAAAAGGTTTTGATGCTGGAGAAAGAGGACAATGTAAGAAACAGGTCTTTGAAAAAGCAGAAGTTTATGGGATCTAGTACACAAGGGACAGAAGAGCTAAGTAGCGTCAGGACTAGAAATACTAAAACAAGGTACTGTGTACCAGGAACTAAGTAATTTTACATGACTTAATTTGCTTAGTTCATGCAAGAACCCTAAGAAGTTTTGGTTTTGTTTCTACTTTATAAATAAGGGGATTGAGGAACAGAGAGGTTATTAAATAGCATGTGTAGAAGCCCGAATTCCATCCAGGTGGGCAAACTCAAGAGCTTATGCTTTCATTTATTTTTATTTTAGAGAAAAAGCGTAACTTGGGGAGAGGGGCAGAGGGAGAGAGAGAGACTCTTAAGCAGGCTCTATGCTCTGAGTGGAGCCTAATGTGGGGCTCCATCCAATGTCTCTGGGATCATGACCCGAGCCCATGCTTTTAAATACTGTATTCTATTGCCTCAGTAGAAGCAGGGATGATGGCACTGAAACAGGGCACAGGACTAGCAATCAATACCTCTTCTTGAGAACAAGACCATTAAATGTTGCTGTTGAGAAACTGTAGCTACTTTTATACTTTTTTACACAAGGTCCCTCTTGTGTCCTGAGCAGGGATAAATGATGTTCCAATTCTGTTACAGGACTGATTACACAGCTGCTGAGAATGTGTTTGCTCCTTACAACATGACGGAGTAGCACATGATATCCATGTTTCATCTGTATTAGTATTTAATATTTGTCTTTTATGACACATTTCCCCACAGTCTAGTAGGTTCTTCTAATACACAAAGACATATATGTGTTTACTCACGATCATTTTGAATACCGCTAGTGATATGTTATATATACATTTTGGTAAACACCAAATTATATATGTGGAAATAACTGACAGGAGAACAGAAAGAGAAGGCCTCGGGATGTGGGACTGCGGGCTGGGACGAGCTTCAGCAAAAGCACCGCTCTGCTACATGACTGGCTGCCACACTACATGCTACTACACTGCCCGGCAAAACAGCAGGCACAAAGTAAGGGCTCCACACACATCTGTATTTCATACCTTTTCCTAATGATTTTATCATTTCCGCCACATGCTCATGTTGCTCAAAACTGACATTCATGGATACCCATTCACAAAGTTTGAGGAAAAAAAGACAGTTACCCACTGCAAAATGAAAACTTTCAATGTTTTATTTTTGACTGCAGCTGTTTACAGAAATATAGTTGCGAGTATACAAATGTTCCAATAGAAGCAAAATATCTTTTTAATATTTAACAAGTTATCACAGATAGCTAAAAACATAGATGCAAATGAAATTCCTCCAGAGAACAAACTGAAAATATCTGGTGTCAGTGCTCTGAATCTCAACTATGAAAGCCATATACACAAAAATATAATCCTTATTTCATTGCAGGACAATGGAAGAAGGCAGTTCAGTGGTTGATCAGTGTGCTCAAGCAAATAAAATTAAATCAAAAGATTTTAATGGCAGAATGGTAGCCATTCTGAGAATGGGTTAATGAAATATGTGCAGTATGTTAAATTAAAAGACTAATAAAGAAGCAAATAAAACTCAGTAAAAGTCCAAAAAAAATAGCTACTTGGAGCTTATCGATTAGAAGGGAACAAGGTGAGCAGATACATTCGTTAGCTCAAAAGAAATTAACTCAACGTCACTGGAATCAGTTTGAAGCTACTAAAGTCATAAACACTTCAGTGCAGGATAGTTCTTTATTGGACTCATTAATCTGATTCCAAAGCCACTCTCAAACGTCTGAGATGGTGTGTGTATGTTTGTGTATGTGTGTGTTGTCCTGAGGTTTGTTAGGTAAAATAATAAGCAACCCTTATAAACTATTTGAAACCAAATTTCTTCTGGGGAAGAAAAAGAACAGGGATAACAGGGTTAAACATTGGGCTTTTAAAAGGGATACTCCAAGTTGGAGTCAAATAGTATCGTGGTAGAATTCTTTGGATACAGAAATACATTATGCAACAAAGTGGGGAAGAGGGGAAGGGAACAAGAAAGGAGGAATGTACCTAGAGCGTCTCCCCACAGTTTGCCTATGTGTTGCCAGCACCGAAGTTTGTAGAGTAAGCCACTTACACTTCCACTGCTAGTGTTAAGCAAAGACAGCAGTGGTGATTTTTATAAAGTGAATGTACAATTATTTTTAATTTGAATGTGCATTTTTCTTCCATGAGTTAATTAACTGGTGATTTGTAAACAGTGGAAGGAAGATTACAGCAATTATGGAGGTACTGAATTACACATGGAGATTAAAATGAATGAATAAATCTACTTATCTTGTTAGTTTCTATTTACCATGAGGCATATAATTGAGAAGGGAGAAATGCCCAGATTTATAATGCACTGTCTTGTCCAATATTTATTTCAGTAAATAATGCGTGTCTGAAGCGTAAGTTCTGAGGATAGCTATATCTCTTCTGCATCAGTTCACATACAAACCAAGCTACTTTTGAATAAGTTTTATTAATTTAAAAAAGAAATTAAATAAGGTGCTATGTTGACCTGGCCAGCCATCTTATTTAATATCTCAGAT